ATAGACTATTCTTCAATGTTTTAATTTTGTTATAAAGATGTGGGGTCCAAGTCAAGACTACTTACATAAGTAATGTACATGCAGGTGAACTTTGGGTCTCCAACTGGTCCTCACTTTCCCTGGTTTAGGACCAGATAATCTTTGTGTTGATTTATTCCCCGCCCCTCACCAGGCAGTGTCCCATGACTGCTGACCCTTCCATTGTGCTTGTGTGGTAAATGTTCAGGTTCTATTTATTTATATTTATATTTATTTATTTTGTTTGAGTTGGAGTCTCACTCTGTCTCCCAGACTGGAGTGCAGGGGCTGCTCCCGGACACCGCAGCCTCACCCTGCTGGGCTCCGGCAATCCTTCTGCCTCAGCCTTCCAAGTAGTTAGAACTACAGGCGTGCGCTACCACGCCCAGCTCATTCTTCATTTATTGTAGAAGTGAGGTCTTGCCAAGTTGCCCAGGCGGGTCTCGAACCCGCGGGTTCAGGCAATCCACTCACCTCAGCCTCCCAAAGCTCAGATTACAGGCTGAGCTACCGAACCGGGCTCAGTTCTTATTTGTGAGTGAGAACTTCAGGTATTTGTTTCTGGTGTAAATCACCAAGTATGGTTTTGTCCAGTTCTATCCAATTTGCTGTGAAGTCCGTGATTTTGTCCTTTATAACTATGTCATACTCCATCGTGTATATTTGCTACATTTGCCTTTTCCAGTCTACTTTTGATGGACAGTAGGGTTGGTTCCATGTTTTTGCTATTGTGAATAGTATGGCAATAAACATGCATGTATAGGTGTTGTTTTTTTTTTTTATAGAAAGATTTGTGTTCCTTTGGGTATGTTCCCAGAAGTGGGATTGCTGGGTCATATGGAAGGTCAATTTCTACTTCCTTTAGAAATTGCCACACTGTTTTCCATTGAGGTCGGACTAGTTTGCATTAGGTTGGACTAGTTTGGACTGCGTTGAACTAGGTTGAATTAGTTTGCACTCCCATTGCAGTGTAGAAGTGATCCCTTTTCTCCACATTCATGCCAGCATTTGTTGTTTTTTTGACATATTAATGATGGTCATCCTTCCTGGAATTAGGTGATATCTCAGTGTAGTTTTGACTTGCATTTCTCTGATGATTAGTGAGGCTAAGCATTTTTTCATGTATCTATTGGCTGCTCATATGTCTTCTTTTGAGAAGTGTCTATTCATGTCCTCTGCCCATTTTTAAATAGAGCTTTATTTTTTCCTTTCTACTCATTTGTGTTCCTTGTATATCCTGTATTTACAAAGGCATAATGCCTTTTCAGATAAACAGTTAGCAAATGTTTTCTCCCATTCTGTGGGTGGTCTCCCCACTCTCTTTATGGTTTCTTTCGCTTTGCAAAAACTTTTCAGTTTGATGAGATTCCATTTATCTAGCTTACCTTTTATGGCATATGCTTTTGGGGATTTTATCAAGAATTGGTTATCTACTTCAATGTACATAAATGAGTTTCTTCTGTTTTCTTCTAGGATTCCTAGAGTTTGAGATTTTACGTTTAGGTCTTTGATCCTTTTAGAGTTGATTTTTGTATATGGTGATAGGTAGGAGTCCTGTTTTATTTTTCTGCATGTGGTCAGTCAGTTTTCCCAGCAGCACCATTTACTAAATAAGGTTTCTTCTCCTCAGTGGTTCTTTCAAATGTTTAACTTGAAGTAAAAGAGTTTATTCATTGCATTTTTTGGATATTTAAAATGTTTTCATTTTATTGTGTATGTATTTACAAAATAATGTTTTTTAATTTTAAAAAGTAGCTCAGGTGAGATTTTAATGAAAACAATAGCTTTTCATATCAACAATTTTATTTCCCTCTCCTGCACCCATAAGATATTTTATTCTATTCTGATTGACACTTAAGTGGTCTGCTCTATAATGAACCAATCGGATCTATTTTTATTATTTTGTCCAGGGTGAATCTCACACCCTAAACATAGATTCTACCTTTTTTACCTTACTTTTCATATCATCACCTATCAGGTGCTCAGAGTCCGATCTTCCTATTCTCTGAGAACTCATAAACATTTATTATAGTTTCAAGAGTAGGGAGAATCTGGAAGGTGTTAAATATGATGGAGGAGGTCTAATATCAGAAGTGACTTTAGGCCAAAAATGTGCACCAGGCCAAGAAAATTCCTATACCTTCCCAATTATAGCTGACATGTTATTTTACAGCTTCTATGTTATTTCAGAGCATTTTGATGGAAGGTGAAGGCAAGGCTTAAATGGAAGATATTGATCACCCAAGACTGAGTCTTTCTCACAACATGATGCCATCATCTTATTTCACTCAGTCCGGACCCATCTAACCTGTTTTATTTTTATTCTTCTTCTTCCAACTCTTACCTGCAGGCTGCTTTTTATTTAATCCTAAAATATTTTTATAGTCTTTTGGATGGGATATATTTATTTCAGATGTAGGACTTTCTACCAAATCTCGTATTTTCTCTTTAATGTAAGATTTATGATATACTTTAGGGAGAGACATACGATTTATTTATTGAATCTTTTGCATTCATTTTTGGCTATGAAATGGGCTAATGCACATGAAGGAATGTAGTTGAGTGATACTCTGTGTTGGATATAGAACAGGTGAGAGTAGGAAAATGCAAAAATACACCCAATAGCAAAATAGTACTGCGAAGAGTCAGTTTACATTTCCTTAATTTCATCCTGATACCTCCAATATGTCATTTTAAATATATGAAATAATTGCTATGTATTGTTAACTAACAAGTTATACAAACTTACTTAGTTTCTGAGGGTCAGTAATCTGTCATAGCTTAGTTGATTTCCTTGTTCAGGGTCTCACAAGGCTAGAATCAAGGTGTTGGCCAACCTACACTCTCATTTTAAATTCAGAGTCCTCTTTCAAGCTCATTCAGGATCCGGACAGAATTTATTTTTGTGCGTGGTTACAGTCCTTAGTCCTCAACTTCTGAAAGTTGTCCCTGTACTTAGGCAGTCAAGTCATGACTGCTTTCTTCCTCAAGGCCGGAAGGAGAGCATCACTGACTTTCTCTGACCTCCAGAGTCTGGTTTTTTGTTTTTTTTGAGTTGATGGTCTCACTCTGTCACCCAGGTTGGAGGACAGTGGCATGCTCCTGGCCACAACAACCTCGATCTGTTGGGCTCAGGCGATCCTTCTGTCTCAGTCTTCCAAGTAGCTGGAACTACAGGCACATGCCACCATGCCTGGCTAATTTTTTTTTTAATTGTAGAGATGAGGTTTCCCCAAGTTGCCCAGGCTGGTCTCGAACTTGTGGGCTTAGGCAATCCTCTCACCTCGGCCTCTCAAAGTGCTGGGATTATAGGTGTGAGCCACCGCACCCGGCCCTAGAGTCTGTTTTAATGTTTGTCTAATTAAGTAAGGCCCACCCATGAAGATCTGTCTTTTAGTTATCTTAGAAAGAGTTAATTAAACCTTGATTTCATCTAAAATATTGCCCCTTTTAAAAAATGTAAGGTAACCACAGAGTAGCATCCCACCATATTCACAAATCCTATTCAAACTTAAGAGGAAGGAATTATATAAGTGTACACCAGGGTATAGAATTTTTGAAATCCATCTTAGAGTTTGCCTATGGAGGAAGGGAGAAGGGCAAATAATCCCAGAATTTATTTATTTTAAAAAATCGTGTATTTATTATCATATTTTACAGCTTCAGTTACCTTCATAGTACTTTCCATTTGATGCAATGTACCTATCAAGATGCTTTTTGCACTACTTTTTTTTTAATCTTTTTTTTT